CGTCACCCTGAGACTTAAGTTGATAAGTCCCACGTGCCTGTAATTTCACCCACCCTTAACCCTTCAAAACTGGAACGCAGTAATGCTCACATTATTACTTGGTAGTAATAAGTTAAGGAAATAGTTACTAGCATATGGTATGCAGACTGGCAATAACTGCAATACAAATATTGTTTGTTACAGACAGAAAGGAATAAAAAAAATCCCGGTACAACAGAGGGATGGATAGTATCTCCGATTGAATCTGCTGTAGCAATTTGTACAAAATCCCATGGGATTATATATAATTTGTTCACTCTCTCTCTTTTAGACAGAATCGCACTTAACGGAGAGTAACACGTCTGTCTACATCACAAACAACTGCAACATGAACACAGTTACAATACAGTAATCAGTCAAGTTTAGCTGTCCTAAAATGCCTAATGAAGAAGTTTAAGCATACGACATAAGGCCTCTCTAAGAGAAATACATTATCAATGCACTAAACCTAAGTTTGAAGAACCGCAAAGTAAAAAAGTTTTATTTGTAATTTCCGTGCAAAAGATGACAATTTAAAACTCCGAACACTGTTTGCCTTAAAACCTTCGTTACTGTTCCGAAACTTCTTTAATGTATATTGCGAGACCATGTCCATGACGCAGAGGAATTGTAAAATATGCTGCATTACAAAACGCCCAGGTGCTGTTACACAATCCGACTGGGATTTTCACATGAACAAGCAAATTTGTTACGTTTCGTTTTCACTTTATAATTCATTTATTTTCAATATTTTTTCAAATATTCCATATGTTTAAAAATTACATGGAACTATATTTTTATGATGTCAAGTGACGGGACGACCAAGTATATTTACGTAAGGTTTGTAATTATATAGTATTAAGTCACTGCCTGCAGACTTGTTCCCTGAATGATATAACTTGGGCATTATCAAGGCGAGAGTGGAAAAGCATTATTTAAGTGTGCAAGCTACTCATCGAATTCATATTCATTCATTCAGTCGCTTTCCATCGCGTTAAATAGCAGTAGAGCTCCTTATGAAAGAGTTCGTCCAGGGGAAGTACTGCCAGCTTACCTTTTTCTGCCGCCAAGCGGTAATATGAGCATTACTGTACACACACACACACCGGGTGCTGGTGAAATTGCAGGTACATGGGATTTGCCAACTTATGTCTCAGGGTGTCGGGCGCAGTGGCAGTGCACGAGATCTTTTCAATTTATAGCTCTGAGTGGCATTGCAACTGTTATGGATAGGCGTGTCGCTTACCACCAGGAGCACGACTTGTTCGTCCTGTTGCTTGCAAAACAAGAAAAAGATTTAAAAAAAATCTTTAAAAAAAAAGTAAAATAAGCATTATTAAAAATAGTAAAAAGTTTTCGCACTTATAACTGTATGCATATATTGCAAAGATTACGTAAGTAGTAATTCAATATAAAGAGTACACACACAAAATGCAATAGCAAAATATACCCATAAATCATAAGTATTTGCGTAGTTTAGTTGATTTTCACTGCGGGACGCAGAATAATCTGTACAGTGAGCTCAAAACTATCATCAATAATCAAATATTCTACCACGACAAGTCATATTTATTTTTATTAAGTGAAATTGTTGATTATTTCATAAAAATAGGTTACTACATTAAACCTAGTTTGATGTTTTCATTATTAAAGATTTTGTATGCTACAGATCGAGTCACCAGACCTTACTAATTTCCCCTTTGCTTTTGACAGCTTTTTGCCGTAGTTTTTTCTTCACTCAACCATTCTTAGATATCTTACAGGTGGCGCTATAAAATAATGTCAAATATATGTTTTACTATTCCTTAAAAAAAACTTTGCAATAGCAAATGGTACAATGGTTCTTATTTATCTTACGTAACAAATTTGCTCTCTAATATGGATAAGGTTTTGGAAATTCTTGCACGTCTTTGCTGTACGTGCGTTTACGTGTTTACGTGGAGTTAACGTCTTTTTCTATTATAATTCACTGCGTGATGTGACGATGGTGGTGTTCCTGCTGTTTTATCTTTTTTTTTTCAATGTTGAATGCAAGCAAGTAAAGACGATATTATGTCATAAGGTGCCGCGCAAACGTGTCTTATATTGGATACAAGCAACCAGCAACTAGAAGCGAATATTCCATTTCCATGCAGTCCCATATCTTACTACATAAGTTTTGTTTATAATGCCCCTCCCTATCAATCTCTTGGTTATGTGGAAAGGGCACTATGGCCTGTGTATGCGACCCCTCTCAGGGGCCATCTAAGTCAGGTCCTAACCTCAGATCAGCCCGTTTGCATGGACTTCATATGGTTCTCTGTAAGGCTAGTGGCTTAGGTAAGCCGCCCCGGTTGCACGTACAGCACCCTCCCTATTTTCTAGATAGGTACCGGAGCTGCAGGCACGCTCACTTCCCGTCGCGCTCTTCACGACTAACGATTGCCACCGCTTAGCCGTCGAGTCTAAACCAACTACCAAATCTTTTCTTTGCTGGCGTAGCTGTAAGGCACGCTCACTTCCCAACGCCGAATGAACGGTGTCTCTCCAGTTCTCAAATGCCAGGGCAGACAAACATGTCCGTCTCTGTAGCTAACCACAAACCCTAGCGAGTCCATACCCAAGTCCCGGTCCACCAGAGACGCCCGCGAAGGCGTATCACTGGAGGAGGGCTTGGCTCGGACGCCCGCTGTGACCTGGTCTAGTACGTAGTTTCTCCGGAAAACCCTATCTGTCGGGTCGGTAGACAAATCCATTTTCATACAATTGAAATGATATCGACACACTCTTCGGTTGCGGCAACCGGACACAGTCGCAATTCGCATGAAAATAATATATTTGCTACTAGTTTGTCTAAGTAGTCTGCGTTTGCCTTCTCCCCATGCGTCAGCGCCGAAGCGGGTGCGCGTCTGCCGCGTCCTCCTTTTGCGACATAACCTTTTCGCAAAACGAGGCCACCACCTCCCAGGACTCCTCGCTACCGAGCATGCCGGCAACCACGCCCGGCAGCGAGAGGTCCTGCCCTATTGTCCCCGTCATAGTGTGCACCTCTAGGGTGTGCTGCGCGGTGTCATCCGCAGCACCGCACTCGTGAAACCGGCTCACCCACTGTATGAGGACAGGACGGTTCGCCCCTGTGGTACGAGCTCCATAGGGGGGATTCGCTAAGCCCCCTTTCCATCGGTCCCGCATGCATGGAACCCAACCCAAGCCTACGCCTAGTCCCCCGGTGATGGAAAGGGGAAGACGGAATTAAATCGTGTAATTCCATCGCACATTCTCCGTGATACATCCTGTAAAATACTGCATAGTTACCGCATGCCGGTTGCTTGTATCCCTTATATCCAACACAACACACACGTTCGTGCAGCGCGGCGCCCAAGAGAATCGTTGTGAACATTATTCCAGGATCTATTCGAGAAGGACGGTGACAACAAGTTGGGATGGATACAGATTGTAGATGTAGACTGGCTGTCTTTGCGACTTCAATACGAGTTTTTATTTATGGAAAAAATTTTCAATTTTGTTTACGTATCTGTGTAGGTTATTAGAAATAGAGGCTTATTTCAATATTTATTTGCTATGGAAAACCAGTAATCAAGTTATTAACAACCCTGTAATTAAATTTTGGACATAGGGAAATCGATTTCTGGTCAGCACCGGGATAAATTGACTTCGACAACCATTTTGAACAGTGGAATATTTTCGCTTCGCTCCAATTACATTTCGTACTCTCTCCAATCGAAATTCGCTTTAAATTAAAATACGTCACGAAATTCATGAAAATTGCCGCTTTTTCAAGTATTTAAGCATTATATTGGCAAAATTAAACATAATTTCGTTCAGTACGAATATATAAGTACTATATGAGCAAAACCATAACATCTCGATTTTTCCTTGATCGTCGTAGCATAAATATCATTCAGAATTTTATACATTTTATTATATTGAACTTAGAAATTTCCACTCTCGAGATTCTATTTGTGGTGTTCTTTACAAACGTTTTCCTCATACGCACATGACTGTACACGTATGCAATTAACGGCAATTTTGAGCAAAAAGAAACCTCAAAGAAAACTTGAGTTTATTATTTGTACCCGTGGGGCGTAATTGGTTTGGGGGCGCCACGACGCGGGGGCGCTACGCCGCGTTCGTAGAGGATATCAAACAAAAAGGGCCTAATTACACACCCTTTTTATTGTCACCAATTAATGAATTGAACTTCCTTTTTGTTGGAGCCTCGAAACGAAGCCACTTAAATCATTCAATTTCCTCCATTGGCATGTTTACGTCCCGCACAATGTATACCGAGCAATATATTTTTGATGCTTGCCTGGTATATTTGTGCAGGTTTATTTAGAAGTTTACGATGCTTGCACGACGTGAGTAATATCGCTGAATGGTGGTATAAATAACTAATCGTTCTATCTACTAAATTTTCTATTACCTGTCTTTTTTTTGTGATTACTAAGTGACAGGTCGAATGGAACGGGATGGTGTTAAGCGGCATGCCTGTCCATAGCAGTCGCAGTGCCACTCAGTGTTTTAAATCGCAAAAATGGAGGAACATTGCCACTGCGCCTGCCACACTGGGACTACAATTGACAAGTCCCATGTGCCTGTAATTTCACCAAGACCCTTGTCTTTCAAAGCTGGAACGCAGTAATGCTCACATTACTGCTTGGCGGCAAAAATAGGTTAGGTGGTAGTACACACCTGGACGAACTGTTACACAAAGCTCTGCTGCTACTAAAATTGTCCTGCAAAAACTGTGCACTGTCTGTTGACAAATAGTTTGTTCTTCATTTTGAGACAAAATATTTCTTGCATTAATTTATCAATGTATTTCTTATGAATTACAAAAAGAACGCACTAAAAATATAAAAATCATAATATTTAAAGTATAAAATAAGTGTTATTTTATACGACGCGTAGAAATATTGTCATTGTTAAGTTTTGTAGAAAATTCTGGTACCTATTATAAAATTGTAACTTGTTCGCAGAAACAACCATATGGAGTTTGTAACTGGCAGAGCAAAAGCTGCTACGTTGGGCTGCGTTATTTCCCAGAATACCGAACCTAACCGCCAAAGAGGTTCGTATAAACAATTATGTATTTTCCGTTCTCAAAGTCAAGTACTTTTTATTAATTTTTTCTTTATTTCTGTTTAATTTGTACAAATTGTGTGTAGCTTAATGTATAGCGACATGTTCGTAATAAATGAAAAAAAGTTATGTGTATGTGGAGGTAAACATAAAGTTCAAAATGAAAATCAAAACAAAAAGCTGGCTCGTACATAATTATGAACCAGTTACGTAACGCGCCACCCGTAATTTGGTTTAAGCACAAGGATTCAAAGCGGTTGCAACATTACTTCGAAGCGTGGATTGCAACACATTAACCCTCAATTCACTAGAAATATACTTAAGTAAATACCTTCTATGAGTCCCAGGGACTCACATATTTTGTAAGCGCGATTTTTTTCAAATAAAACAACTTTGGTTACAATTCAGTTTTATAATCTTCTTAGGTACTTAGCTAATAATAAAATAAAAATAACAAAATGGGAACAAACTCGTGAGATCCTCTTAAACAATAGAAAAGTACAAATATCAGTCTCAAAAAATAATCAAATATTTAAACTGTTTTAAGTCTTACAAATAATTAGAAAAATAAAAAAAACTTAACACCTTTAAACCTCTTTAAGGGTACAACATAAAAATAGAAAACCTTAAATCTATGGCCCCATACAAAAAAAACGTGCAATAGGCTTTACACATTACACAATTGGCTTTATACATTTCGCGCATAAGTATGCAGTCTTTGTTCTCTTTTTGTAATGGCATAAATAACAGTACTTCCTCTCATGCCTAGCTAACTTGACATCAGTTTCAGGATGACACATATCTTCAGGAATGTCTTTTTGCAAGATAGATGAAATCGAACAGCGAACTTGACGTGGCCAACGTGTACTATGTAAACGTGTCATCAAATTACTTTCGTTTAGTTTTTCTGCAATACCTTTTAGGAATTCTAATCTTCTAATATTTGGTACCCCTCTTTGGCTTTCATAAATAACTTGAGCATTAGAACATGCCATGTCAATGATTCTAAAAAACACAGCCATAGGCCAACGGGAGGTTCGTCTACTACACGAGTAAACAGAGCACTTTTGGTCAACCACATCAACACCTGCCTTGGTGGAGTTATAATTATTGCAGGTTTTCCAGTATTTACATCAATTTCGTCGTCATGGTGCATAGAAGAGTACAGTACCACAGATCGATTTTTCTTTGGAACATAGCTAACAAGAGTAGATTCTTTCGTAAATCCGAATAGAGAAGATTCCACGGGCCGGTCTTTGTGTGGGAGAAATTCTTTTGGTATAACCCTCTTGTTTTTTTTTCAGTGTACCCACTGTTGTCAAGCCTCTTGCCTTCAACTCTTTTAGTAGCTCCATCGAAGAGTACCAGTTGTCCGTAGTCACATTGATGTTCGTATTGAAAATGGGCTTACACAAGCGGAGGGTAGCTTGCGTTGGTACTGATTTCTTTTTCTCCTCGTCAGTCAAACCGAATCCGTCAGAACCTTTAAATATAAAAATATAAAAGGTCTTAGAACCCACTAAGCACTGCATCTTCAAACCATACTTTCCAGGCTTATTGGGCATGTACATTTTAAATCTGGATCGTCCTCTAAATTCTATGAGCATTTCGTCAACCGTAGCATTACTACCCATTGAATTATTATTTTGACTGTTTTCTATAAACATTTGTAATATTTCTGTAATGAGACAAGCAGGATCAACTTCTCTTCGAATATCACGGTCAGAAGCGTCATCAAACCGAAGAGCTAAGAGCAATGCCAAAAATCTGTTTTTCGACATTGATGCTCTGAATATTTCTCGTCCAGTTCCATCTGTTGCAAATAGTGATAAAACGCTTTCTCTATTTGACTTGAAAATAGCGGAATAAATCAGCAAAGATAGAAAACCTTTCAATTCGATAGGATTAGTCTGTCTGAAAGCAGAATCTTTTGGATATTTCGTTTGAAATTCATCAAGTTTTTTGTTTATCCAAGTCAAAATGATATTCAGCATTCTCTGATCGAACAATAACTGAAATGCATCAATTGGAGAAAGAGGTCCTTCAGCTAGAGGTCTAACTCTAGGAACTTGTATTATGTTATGTGCTGCAGTACGAACGTTTCGAGTTGGAGGTAATCGTGACCACTTCGTTCGATCTTTTCCATGGCAATAGTTTTGGTTTGTTTGTTCAGGTATAGATTGGTCATTATCACTCATATATGATGAATTATCTTGAGCTGGTGCATCATTCCGTGACCTGTGAGAAACTAGCTCTGACAGTGGTAAGTCACTCTCATTTGAAGACGATTCAGAGAAGCTTGAGTTAGTGTCGTGATCGCTGAGAAGGTACTCACCATCCTCAATATCTGAAGTTTGTAAATCTTCATTTACGTGTGAGCGACTGCTTGACGGGCCAGGAGCTTGTTGACTGTCCCTGTCATTATACTTATCATCCAAATCCTCTTGGAGCCAAGCTTCTAGAATGGAATCTGCTCCGTCTTCATTGACATTGATCCAATTACATTGTTGAGCCATTTTAAAATTCTACAACAAAAAAAAAATAAAGCGTGCATAAATATAATCAATAAATATAGGTGAAAAATCAACAATTGTAATATTTAATAAATAAATAAAAATATAACACAATTCACTAGTATGAGTCCCTGGGACTCACTCGACGTAATAACTCACCAAATACGAAGCGCGCGCGCACGTCCTCTCGGCACCGCGTCGCTCGCGTCACTGCATGAAGGTACTGAGGTAAGGGGAAAACCATCTGCTAAAACAATTAAACTAGGGCGGTTTGAAATTTCGTTGTGAGTCCGTGGGACTCAGGAAGTGAATTAAGGGTTAAAGGCACGAGGCGCATGGTCAGCGCAACATGCGATGGTGAGACCAGCACAGCGCGACTCCGTGGGAATGAAAACACTTTCCATTGTTCCATGTTCCAACATCGAACATGGTCGCATCTCGTTTTAGTTTTAGAGATATTTTATATTCCTTTACTTTTTGTCAAACCTTTGACTTCTTACATTTAGTAAAAAGTATTCTGGTTTTTTTTAAGTCCTTCGGCTGTAGCTTTCGTAACTAACCCGTCTATGAAGAAATGTGCGGCGCAGTAAAATTTTTGTTTCGATCAAATTCTGTACGGTTTGGAACAATTCTTTCACTGGTTTACCCTGTACACAAACTTCGAAAAACTATTTTTATAAGGTGGCTCTTGCAGAATATGTAATAAAAATAATACTTATACCTCGAAACGACTTGATGGGAGACCCGAGAAATGAGGCAATTCATCATGACAACAATACAATTCTAGAACGCGAAACCAAAATGAATTATATCAGGGTGCAAAGAATATTTCTGATTCCACTGAATCACGTGTAAATGGGAATTTGGTCGCGTGAGATAAGTGTGTATCGTATACAAAAGAACTATTTATTTTTACGATATCCGGAATAATCCTATTTTTCTTTGTGCCCTCAATATCCCTTTATCAAAGAAAGGAAATTCACAATAGATGGAAATATGGCATGGAAGTTTTGAGAAAATCACCTAAACCCATGTATTAGAGCGGTTACACACGTCGACGTTTAGTAGCGCGTCTGTTGCGATTCAGTGACGACTCAGTTGCTAATCGTCCACCTTTATTTATACACACGCGCGACTTAGGCAGCGATACAATTGCGATGCATGTTCTTAATGACTGAATATAAGCGACTGCATCGGTGCAATCGTGCGTTTGCATCGATGCAACCGCCTGTAAATAGCAAGTGTCGCGATGCAATCGCACATGTCACAAACGCGCGTTTGTATCGCTACTAAAGGTCGCCATGTGTAACTGTTCTTAAGTTTTGCCCCGAAGTAAATGTATCTCCAAAAATAGTAAAATCCGGTGAAAGAATAATAAAATGTGTTTTATACGTACTACTTGTGTTATGTAATGTACCTTGTTTACCTGAAAAAAAATTAAAAACATTTTAGTATAGTTGTGGACAACCATACTAAAATGTTTTTAATTTTTTAATTTTTTTAAGAAGCCTTGTGATCTCATCATACATTAACTTGTGTTCATACCTTATCTCCTCGTCCCTAGATAAATTCTTAAACCTAAATACAAAGAACCATGAACGTTTTAGAAAATTGAAAAAAGTTTATCCGTTTTCTTAACTAGCGTGCATTTTGAAGTTGTTCTTTTTTATATGGTTTGTCTATAGAAGTTTCATACTAAAAGTCAATTACAAAGGGATGTTATTTTTGAAGATTACAAAACTTAACTAAAGCTATAAATTTTGAAAGCTTTAAATTAAGTTCTTAGGTTTTCGCGATTGTTACACATAGGAAATGAAACTATTTTTCCGGATTGAAATCACGTATATTTGTTTTTTCCAGTTATGTAACTGGTTGAAGACTGTACCACCTCAGTCAACCGTGACCATGGGACCTGTAAAGGGCCCGAAACGTCGGTTTGTTTGAAAAAACAAATATACGCGATTTAAATCCGGAAAAATAGTTTCATTTCCTAGCTTTAAATTAAATTTTACATCTACGTCATTTTAAATTATTTTACGTCGCAGCGTCCAACGTGACATTTTGGAAAAAAAAACTGATTACTTAATGTTTTTCAATAAACGTTCTTTGAAAAAGTGGTAAGCCATGTTATCACATTACTATTGTAAAGCTTGGTGACGTCACGTCACAAGCGTGGTCAAGGGGACCAAGAGCGCTTGCTTTTGCGTTCCTGTCAGGTTACACGAATTTTATGCAAAAATGAATTCGCTCTCCTGGGTAATAAAGGCCACATCTGCAAAATTACAAGTTTTCAGGAGAGAGGTTTAAAGTTTCTACGAAATAAATTAGTCTACAACTTTCACAACTTTTACTTGCTTAAATAGGAAAGTTATAATATTTCACATATCGTTGTTGCCTTATAGTGAACACCTAGCATACACGTTCTCACATAGTTCGTTTTTAATGATTTTTGTTGAACAAAAACTTATAATTTTCC